TAGGGGATGCTTTTATAATAATATCTATCTAACCACTAACACAGTTCCACAGGCGCAAAAAATTGTGATTTTGTCAACTTCCATTTGTGAGCAGCCACTGTGTGAAGTGACAAAATCTGGATTACATCAGCAACTTGCAGGACATGCAATCCACTCAATTCCACTGGTGGTGTGTGATCCCTCAATTACTGCTTTGTACTTATTACCCATCTAACACTGATCATTTGTGGGGGTAATGACCCCTCCAATACTCATGATTAATCATTTTAGGGGTAATAATTCTCTTGATACTCCTGAGTGATTATCTGTTCACTGGCCACTCATGAGGTCTCACCATTTTGCCTTCCCCCAATTTGATATGCTTAGAGACTTTATAAGGGTCAACCAAGATTCAATAGACAGAAAATGAGAACACTACAGGGTATGTGGAAGAACACTGCTAAAACAGAATTATGCGCGCATGGAGATTTCTGCAGAGTTGATTTGCTGGAAGGAAAGAGAACTATGATTCTGGTTCATGGAGAAATTCTCTTTTTTTATTCTAATAGTTTAAACAACGTGTTTCTAACTAAACCTTGCATATAACTACGCCTCTTCCCGCCGCATTCGTCCACCAGCTATTTATGAAAAGCAATCAGTTAGTGCACAAATAAAATGTTTTCAGAGAGCAGGGATCACAAACCTTGGTAAACTGGACATGGCTTGAGTATATTCTTAAGTCACTCCTGCAACAGTTCAAACCAGACTTCACTGCACGCGCCCAAACAAAATCTGCTTGAAGCTCCAAAATTTGATGGTTTTGATTGTTTGATAGCTTTGATCATCCGGCTGAAAATGTTGATGAGTTGTATGTTCTGCTTCAATAGTTGTTTGTTCAACGACGCGGTTAACTGAATTACACGCAAAAGATTTGTGAGGTTTAAATGCATGCAAGTGTGAGTGTTTTGAGCGTCCCGCCAGTTAACCAGATTCTTGATCAAAACGTCTTCCTGCCAGTCTACTAAAGCTTCAGTCAAGTTGCAATCATCTGCATTGTTCTATACAGAAACAGAAATTAGCATTCAGTGGTCTCTGTATCAGGAATTAATGCAATGGTCACTCACCTGAAACACAAATACGACCATTGAATTGATACCTTGAATGGCCAAACAGTCCAGATTTTCATTGAATTTGCGGGTCAAGTCGGCAGTTTGTCTCAATGTCTTGAGCAGGGAACCTTCAATTACAGAGGAAAATTCCGGGGAGCTGCACGCCTCGGCCATGTGGTCGTAATTTGTTGGGTCCTGGTTGTGGCCACATTGACTGAATATCATGATGGAATCCGAGATAACGAGGTTTTTTGGACCACTTCGAAGGGGAGTTTGGTCTATAACTGGTGCGGCTCTAAGCTCTTTTAATTTATCTATTTTGTGCTGAGGGAAGAAGGACTTTGTGATGATAGGCCAGCAGATGTAGAGCAGAAAAAAAACCAAAATTACATTCCAAATCACAAGTATGTCCATAATGTTGGAGTGGAGGGTTATGTTGGAGAAATACAT